TTATAAAAATTCCACGCTTTTTTCCTTGGCTAATGGTATCTGACCAAGCCAGGCCTTAAACCTCTCATTTAAAACTTTCTTTGGGTTGGAGTCCCCGGTTTTCATTGTATTGGGTTATACTTATCTTTCCTTCTGGTTTTCCTTCTCATTCTCCTTCTTCATCTTCATTTTCTTCTTTTTTTTTTTGAGATGGAGTCTTGTTCTGTCGCCCAGGCTGGAGTGCAGCAGTGCAATCTGGGCTCACTGTGACCTCCGCCTCCTGGGTTCAAGCGATTCCCCTGTCTCAGCCTCCTGAGTAGCCGGGATTACAGGCACGTGCCACCATACCTGGCTAATTTCTGTACTTTTAGTACAGACAGGGTTTCACCATATTGGCCAGGCTGGTCTCAAACTCCTGACCTCAAATGATCCACCCACCTTGGCCTCCCAAAGTGCTGGCATTATGGGTGTGAACCACCACACCCAGCCTCCTCCTCCTCCTCCTCCTCCTCCTCTTTCTCCTCCTATTTTTCTTCTTCTTTTTATTAATTAAAAAAAAATTTTTTTAAATGTCTTCTCTTTCTCTTGCTTTTTGTTCGTTTGTTTTACCATTATACTAACAAGGGTCTTCTTTTTAATAGAGACGGGGGGGTCTCACTATGTTGCCTAGGCTGATCTCGAACTCGCGGGCTCAAGTGATCTTCCTGTCTCAGCCTCTGAAAGTTCTAGGATTACAGGCATGAGCCACCACACCTGGCCATTATAGCTATATTCCGCTCCTTCTACCCAGTCCCTTTAAGAGGCTTCAGTTGACCTGCCAGCTTTCTTTTCCATTTTATTAATTTTGCCTTGGATGCCGTCTATGAGATTATCTTTAGCTCTACATGCAGCTACATTTAATCCATTCCATCTCTCTGCTCTACATAGCAAAAACCCCCAGCCTCCAGCCCATATTCCGCACAAGCTCTCACTTGTCCAGGGAGCTAGCATAGATACTAAAAGCCATTAACCAACCTATAAAATATAAGAAAAGAAGACATGGCAAGAAAGCTACTAAGTTCATTTTCTGACACTCTAGAAAATATATTTTTGATCCAAAGAGAAGCGATTGACCCACCCTTTCTCTAGAACTACAAATATTCTATATATCCCATCAAAACAGACTGGCCTACTGCATATGCCTGTCCCACTGTATCTCTTTGGTACAAACACCTGTTCCAAACTGAGCCAACTCGGTCGTCTTTACAGAGAAATGAAAATAAGTGTCTGTGGAGTCTAGCTATCGAACAGGAAACTGCAGCAGCTATAGTCCTCCACATGGACTAAGCAGCAGAGAAAGTTGGCCTGCAGAAAGTCAAGAATTAGCAGATGTTAGAAGAAAGTGGAAATGGAAGAGACAGAGAGACATACTGCCTGAGTCCCTTGCAGCTTTCTCTTTCCTGGTTCAAATACCTTTCTGATGCCAGCGTCATTCCTACCTGTGGATTCTGTGAGAACACATGGACACAGGGAAGGGAGTACTACACACTGGGGTCTATTGGGGGGAATAGGGGAGGGACAGCGGGGGGGGGGAGCTGGGGAGGGATAGCCTGGGGAGAAATGCCAAATGTGGGTGAAGGGGAGGAAGGCAGCAAAACACACTGCTATGTGTGTACCTATGCAACTATCTTGCATGTTCTGCACATGTACCCCAAAACCCAAAATGCAATAAAAAATAAAAACACTGTATCTTTAGGATAAGTGCTCTCATCTTTTAATATCATCCTAACTGTAGTTTGTTTGTTTGTTTGTTTTTCAAAGAATCCTAACCAACAGAGATACGTTGAGTCTGAAATGGATATCCAACATCTAAGAGACGGAGTTGGGAATGCGGGTCCTGAATACAGAGCAGAGGTTAGGGGAAGACATATGATATGGGCACAGGGATAACCGAAGTCACTGGAGTACATGAGGTTGCCAGAAAAAGCCCAAAGAGAAGGTAAAAAGGGAGAGATGGGGAAGAGATGAAGGATGGCTCTCTTAACATCTTCCATATTGAAGAAATGAATCATAGAAACAGGAGTCATTGAAGATGGTTAAAAAGAACAGAAAATTAGGAGAGAATGCTTTTATGGAAGCCAAGGAATAAGGACATTCAGGTTGTGTTTACAGAAAATTCAGTCACAGCCATGTGCGGTGGCTCACACCTCTAATCCCAGCACTTTGGGGCACCAAGGAGTTTGAGATCAGTCTGGCCAACATGGTGAAACCCTGTCTCTACTAAAAATACAAAGATTAGGTGGGTGTGGTGGCACATGCCTGTAGTCCCAGCTACTCAGGAGGCTGAAGCAGTAGAATCAATTGAACCCAGGAGGTGGAGGTTGCATAAGCCAAGATGGGGACAGAGTGAGATTCCATCTCAAAACAAAAAAAAGAGAATGACAACTAAAGCTCGATGACAGTACACTGGGGTGGTGAGGATGGTGGGAGTGGGGGCTTGGGTTTAATAATCAGGAAGTCCCTGACAGCCTTGTCAAAGCAGTGATGATATATCAGGCACAGAGAGTATGTTAGGTGTATATAAGCCTCCTTGAAGACTAACTGGTAATTGAAACATGAGAAGAGATGGTCATGTCTGATATTTGAAAAGAATGACAGAGGAGGCAACAATCTGAAGGGGAGGTGTAACGGACAGGTGTTTTGCTTAGTTTTAGAATTGCAGATAATTGAGCATGTTTACAGGCTGAGGAGCAGAAACCATTGGAAAAGGACAGATTTAAGGTATAAACGGTATGAAATAAAAGTCAACTGTTGGGAAAAAGCCCCAAAAAGATAAGTGGAAGGGGCTTACACGCAGCAAGGTCTCTTCCTCCAAAACAGGAAAGGAAATAAGAATGAATACCAATATCCGAATTTGGGATGAGCACAAGAAAAAAATGGAATTGTTGAAAATTTTATTTTGGTAAACACACACTCTTTTTTTTTTTTTTTTTTTTTTTGAGACAAAGTTTTGCTTTTGTTGCGCAGGCTGGAGTACAAAGGAGCAATCTCTGCTCACTGCAGCCTCAGCTTCACGGGTTCAAGTGATTCTCCTGCCTCAGCCTCCCAAGTAGCTGAGGTTACAGGAATGCACCACCATGCCTGGCTAATTTGTGTATTTTTAGTAGAGACTGGGTTTTGCTGTGTTGGTCAGGCTGATCTCAAGCTCCTGATCTCAGGCGATCTGCCTGCCTTGGTCTTCCAAAGTGCTGGGATTACAGGAGTGAGCCACCACGCCCGACCTAAACACAGACTTTTAAACTGTTTAACTTTTTAAAGATAAACCTTAAAAAAAAAAAAAAAAAAAAAGCCAGGCGCGGTGGCTCACGCCTTAATCCTAGCACTTTGGGAGGCCGAGGTGGGTGGATCACCTAAGGTCAGTAGTTCAAGACCAGCCTGGCCATCATGGTGAAACCCCATCTTTAAAAAAAAAAAAAAAAAAAAAAAAAAATTTTTTTTTTAAGATAAACCTTGACATCATTATTACTCAGTTTGAGGAAAGGCACAAGAAAGTAGTAAGATCTCGCCAGAATTTAAATTCTGCTTTGTTTTTTGTTGTTGTTGTTGTTGTTGTTTTTTGAGACGGAGTTTCGCTCTTGTTACCCAGGCTGGAATGCAATGGCGTGATCTCGGCTCACCACAACCTCCGCCTCCTGGGTTCAGGCACTTCTCCTGCCTCAGCCTCCTGAGTAGCTGGGATTACAGGCACGCACCACCATGCCCCGCTAATTTTTTGTATTTTTAGTAGAGACGGGGTTTCACCATGTTGACCAGGATGGTCTCGATCTCTTGACCTCGTGATCCACCCGCCTCGGCCTCCCAGAGTGCTGGGATTACAGGTGTGAGCCACCGCGCCCGGCCTAAATTCTGCTTTGTTTACTTACATCATTGATCAGACATGAGCTAAGAGACCACCTGTTCACTTTTTTCTGTCTTAAAATATGGAGACCAAAGAGAGATGAAACTTTCATCAGCATCTCAACATTTTCCCTGCCTTTTTTTTTTTTTTTTCCGATTGTCCCTGGGGTTGGAGGGAGAGGGTATGGTGATGATAGTTGGCGTTTCTGAGTCTTCTGTGGTACTCACAGAGGTGAAGAACAGACAGTGGGAGCATGCAGCAACAGCCAGAGCCCTTCCTGGAAGCACCCAGAACTAGTTCTGCAAATGTATTTCAGTCTTGCCCAAAACTCCATCACCTTAAAACCCCTTGGAGGTGGCTCTCATCAAGACTAGAAAGCAGGGTACGGTGGCTCACGCCTGTAATCCTAGCACTGGGAGGCCGAGCCTGGAGGAGCGCTTGAGGTCAGGAGTTCAAGACCAGGCTGAACCCCATCTCTACAAAAAAATGAAAAAATTAGCCTGGTGTGTTGTTCCCCGCCTGTAGTCCCAGCTACTCAGGTGGCTGAAGTGGGTGGATCGCTTGTGCCCATGAGTTCGAGACCAGCCTAAGCAACATAGTGAGACCAAGTCTCTAAAATAACACATTAAAAACCCAGAAAAAAAATTAGCCAGGTGCGGTGGCGCGCACCTGTGGTCCCAGCTACTTGGGAGGCTGAGGTGTGCAGATCGCTTGAGGCTACAGTGAGCCGAGATCGCACCACTGCACTCCAGCCTGGAGGATAGAACGATACCCAGCCTCAAAAAGAAAAAAAGAAAAGAAAAAACAAAAGTGGGAGGAAGCAAAGCAATGACCCAAGTTATGGCCTCAGGGACTTCCAAAATCAAAGCCCTAATCTGACGAGCCCGCCCTGACGCCTATAAGAAAATGACTCTCACTTTTCATTGGCTGACCCTCCGGGAGTTCAGACCTTGCTTCATTTTCCTTGGTTGTTGCTGGTGTCACGTCTTCTGGCCACGCCCACTTTCCGGCCGGCGACCAGTGAGCGTTGAGCGATAGTGATTTGCAGTCGGTCAGGGGCGGGGGTTCGCGGCAGAAAAGCCTACTTCCCCCTCCCACGCGCCCCCGCCCCGCCCCCGTCCCGAGGCCCCGCCCCTAGCTGGGCCGGGCCCCGCCTCTCTCTCCCGAGAGGGCGGGCACCAGGCGGCGGCCGCAGCCGCAGCCGCAGGAATATGCTGGAAGGCGGCGGGCGGGCTCCCGCGAGGTGCTGAAGGGACAGTTCCCGCCGCCGAACTTACCCCGCGGGTGGGGCGGCCCGGGAGCCAGCGGGGCACGTGAGCGATGGAGACCATCTGGATCTACCAGTTCCGCCTCATCGTGATCGGGGACTCCACCGTGGGCAAGTCCTGCCTCCTGCACCGCTTCACCCAGGGCCGCTTCCCCGGGCTGCGCTCCCCCGCCTGCGACCCCACCGTCGGCGTGGACTTCTTCTCCCGCCTGCTGGAGATCGAGCCGGGCAAGAGGATCAAGCTGCAGCTCTGGGACACGGCGGGACAGGAGCGGTTCAGGTAGGGACCCCGGGGACCGCGGGCACCGCGCCGCCCTCTCGGCCCGCCGGGACGCCCCTTCCCAGGCGCTCGCCCCGCCGGCCTGGTCGGGAGTGGCTCTGGCCCTTCCCTCTCCAAAGTGCAAACACTCCATTCTCGCTTCCCCTTTGCCCCTCCTCTTCCAGGGACGACTTCCTCCTCCGCAATTTCTCACTTCTTTCTTTGGCGCCCATTTCCTGCGCCCCCTTTCCGTCTTTCCTTTCCCGCCTGAACCGGGGTCGTCCTCGCAGCCCCCTCTTCCCCAACTCTTTCGGCCCCTGTGGGTATTTTGGTCCCCTTCGACTCCCCCGCTGCCTTCTCCCCAAACTCGGCTTCCCTGGCTGCGCACAGCCTGACCCCACCACCAAGCAGGCGCCCCTTTTCCTGCCCTAACCCAGCGGCTCCCACGCTGTGTGGCCCGGGAGAACCGCGAGGGAGGGTTCCCAGATTCGTGATGGATCCTTTAGCTGCACAGCGAGGAGCGCTCCAACCCAGGTTCCCGCATGAGCTCACTGGGCATGGTTCACAGGGAGGCGGATGCGGTAATGGTTTGGGCACCTCACAGCACTCAATGTGGTCATCAGAAATAATGGGTCATGACCCGTGGGAATGGGTCTTGTAGGTAAACTAGATACAACATCAGGGACGCCGGCACAGCTGAGGGTGTGTGTGTGTGTGTGTGTGTGTGTGTGTGAAGGGTTGAGTTGTCTTTAGAAGTTTGTCATGTTTGGTGGGAAAAAGAGATATATTGAGATTTGCCAGGAACTTTTATTTTGCTTATTTATGATCAATACTTAATGTTCCAGGGTGATAATATTTATAAAGAGAGAAGGAGGGATCCAAATTAATAGACTCCTCCTAAATATTCACTGGGGACATGAAGGGTTTCACAAAGACGACTGGTATAAATAAAAAGTAAATAAAATTATATGCATTTCCTGAGTATTTGAGATGAAGCAGGTTTAAGGCACATTTTAAATGTCTACGATTCAAAGGCACTTGGTTTGAGAGGAAGATGGTGAAAATGATACATTGCACTGTTCTGTTTCTTAAAGACTGCATTATCCATTGGAACTCATTTAGGGAAGCATTTTGCGTTAGTCAGCAAGTACTCTGCTTGTGAAATGCAGTGTTCCATGAGGGGACTTCCCAAACATGGCTTCCCCTCTCCCCCAGCCAGCATCACTGCCAATGAGATCAGCCTACATCTGTGAGAATGGTCCAACATTCAAAGTTTTGGCTTCCGTTCCCAGCAATGATGCTGATTCATAGAGATAATGAGTGAACTGCTTAGCTGGCTTATACCTTAGTTTTCCTGTGTGTGAAGTGGAAAGAGGGTAAGGCCAGCCCTTCAGAGAGGTGTTAAAAGATTATCGATTGGATTTGTACAACATTTAGGATTCCCTGAAAAATGTTTTTACTTTTCAAGAAGATTCCTTTATTTTTATTTATTTATTTATCGTTATTATTTGGTGATGGAGTCTCGCTCTGGCGCCCAGGCTGGAGTGCCATGGCTTAACCTCTGCCTCCCCGGTTCAAGCAATTCTCCTGCCTCAGCCTCCCAAGTAGCTGGGATTACAGGTACACGCCACCACACCCAACTAATTCTTTGTATTTTAGTAGAGACAGGGTTTCACCGCTGTTGTCCAGGCTGGTCTCGAACTCCTGAGCCCCAGGCAATCTGCCCACCTCAACCTCCCAAAGTGCTGGGATTACAGGCTTGAGCCATCACACCTAGCCAAGAAGCCTCCTATAATTAAAATAATTTTTCAAACTTTTGATTTCTTTTTTTCTTTTTTTTTTCAGAGTCAGGGTTTCACTTGTTGGTCAAGGTGGTTTTGAACTCCTGACCTGAGGTGATCCACCCACTTTGGCCTCCCAAAGTGCTGGGATTATAGGCATGAACTACCACGCCCTGCCAAATTTTGGATTTCTTATCTGTAAAATGAGAGTCATTATGATCTCTAACATTCCTTCCGGTTTTACCATTCTAATGTTAATTGCAAATTCCTTCACATGAGATCTTTTACAAAATTTTTGTAAATTTTAAAATTTACAAAAGGTAAATTTTAAGATACTTGAGGGTCAGAAGAAAAGCATTTGCCAATAGGTCTTGACCCACTCTCTAAAGTGAGTACAATAAAAATCTTTATGTCTTAAACTTCTAACAGCTACTTTGAGTTGCAACTATAAGAAACATGGTTAGGCCAGGTGCGGTGGCTCACGCCTATAAATCCCAGTACTTTGGGAGGCTGAGGCGGGTGGATCACGACGTCAAGAGATGGAGACCATCCTGGTCAACATGGTGAAACCCCGTCTCTACTAAAAATACAAAAATTAGCTGGGCATGGCGGTGCCCGCCTGTAGTCCCAGCTACTCGGGAGGCTGAGGCAGGAGAATTGCTTGAACCCAGGAGGCAGAGGTTGCGGTGAGCCGAGATCACGCCATTGCACTCCAGCCTGGGTAACAAGAGCGAAACTCCATCTCAAAAAAAAAAAGAAACATGGTTAATAAAATTTTATTGTATTTAATTATTTTCTTAAAAGTAGCTCAACATACTTACAAGAAAATAAAGGATAATTAATGTATTAAACTTTAAAGACCTTTCTGTTACCTGGCTGATTGTTTTTAATGCCTTGAAGAAGAATGTAAATAGTCATTCATTTTATATACATTATTAAAACCAAACAGTAACTCTCGCGTTATAATGCAAGGACTTTGAGGGAATGTTTACTGACAATGAGTCATACTTTATTTTGTTTGGCTCTTTACCAAAGTTATATTTGTAAATACATACATATTTCAGTAGCTACCTCCAAATAATTGCTTTTCTCTCATTTACCAGAATGGTTCACCATAAAATGACATGTAAAACAATTACTGTTAAATCATTCTGTATCTTTCCTCAAGAAAGTAGGGATACTTATTTTGAATAATAGGTATCCTTGCGTATTTTATTTCATAGAAAGGTATTGTAGGTCATGAAGATGTATTCCTGCCATTAGTCAACCTTACCATGAAGAATTTGTGGGAAATACCATATTTGAAGGTTTAGTGGTGATTGGACATAAATCGACAAAAAGGAACCTACTTTAGACAGCTCATGAGGCAGCTTGAAAGCATAAATAAATGTATTACAGAACAATAGGACATGGAGTTGACCATCACGATCATGATTAGCCTTCTCTCTTGTCTTTCTTTCTTTTTTTTTTTTTTGAGACAGAGTTTCGCTCTTGTTACCCAGGCTGGAGTGCAATGGCGCAATCTCGGCTCACCGCAACCTCCGCCTCCTGGGTTCAGGCAATTCTCCTGCCTCAGCCTCCTGAGTAGCTGGGACTACAGGCACGCGCCACCATGCCCAGCTAATTTTTTGTATTTTTAGTAGAGACGGGGTTTCACCATGTTGACCAGGATGGTCTCGATCTCTTGACCTCGTGATCCACCCGCCTCAGCCTCCCAAAGTGCTGGGATTAGAGCCACCGCGCCCGGCATCTTTCTTTCTTTCTTTCAACAGGGTCTGTCACTCAGGCTGGAATGCAGTGGCGCAATGTCAGCTCACTGCAACCTCTACCTACCAGGCTCAAGTGATTTTCCTGCCTCAGCCTCCCAAGTGGCTGAGACTGCAGGCATATACCACCATGCCCAGCTAACTTCTGTATCTTTTTTTGTAGAGACAGGTTTGGCTCTGTTGCCCAGGTTGGTCTGAAACTCCTAGGCTCAATCGATCTGCCCACCTTGGCCTTCCAAAGTGCTGGCATTACAAGCCTGAGCCTCTGTGCCTGGCCAGCCTTAGTTTTCAGTGTTCAGACTAACATGCTAATAGAGGACAACTGCTTGCCTGAAATAAAAAGGAACGAAATCAAAGTGAAAAAGGTTCAGAAAAATAATGTATATGTGAGCATAACTGTAAATTAATATAACACTCAAATGGTACATTATTATTAACACTGTATTAGATTTGTATATTAAGGACATTTAGAATTACAGTGCCTTCATTGAAGATGGAAGTTTATTTCTCGCTTGTGTAGAGAGTGGTCTAAGTTGGTGGAGTGGTTCTGCACCAGGTCATCATGCAGGCACCTTCCCTCTTAATCTTCTGCCATGGCTAGGACGGTGCCATCATCTACGTGAACAAAGCTGGGCTATAAGCACACTGTGTCTCAGTTCAGCAGACTTGGAAAAAGCGGCTCTAAACCAAGCAGTTTCTTTTAAGCAAGTGAGGCCAACATGGTATAGATTCTTTCGGCTCTCAATTCACTCGGGAGAACGTAGTTACAAGGAGACACAGACGAGGCCACTATGTGCCTAGGATGTAGGAAAGATGCATTTGGCATTCTGGGTGTTGGGGGAAGCTAGTAATCACCACTTTTCAAAATAATAATTTTTTGTTTTGTTTTTTGAGACACAGTCTCGCTCTGTCATCCAGGCTGGGTGCAGTGGCAAGATCTCAGCTCATTGCAACCTATGCCTCCCAGCTTCAAGCAATTATTGTGCCTCAGCCTCCTAAGTAGCTGGGACTACAGGTGGTGCCATCACACCCAGCTAATTTTTGTATTTTTAGTAGTGACTGAGTTTCACCATGTTGGCCAGGCTGGTCTTGATCTCCTGGGCTCATGTAATCTACCTGCCTCAGCCTTCCAAAGTTCTGGGATTAATTTATCAGTAAGGAAAGGAGAATATTGTTTAATACAGTATTAATAAAGATAAATATATTGGAAGAGCTATGTGTCCAGAGAGCATTAAATGTAAGAATAGAAATTTTGAACTTTTCCCATAAAAGTGTTTAAAGTTATATGAATATAATATGAGATTAAATAAATAGCAATGTTAGCTATAGGATAGGGAAACTCTAGGCTTCGAGCCAGGTTTGGCCTTTTATCAGATGTTGCCTGACCTTTGGGGTGTTAATGTCCTCCTCGTGCAGTGCTCTCAAGGAGTGCTCAGCAGAATGCTCATTCTTGTGGTTATATATATATATAAAG